CTCTAAAAATTTTGAGATACTTCCTCTCTCTAAACAATTTTGATACTCTCTCTAAAATTTCTTATACTTTCTCTCTCTAAAATTTTGAGATACTTTCTCTTGCTAAAACTTAAAATTTGAGATAATTTCTCTCTATAAAAATTTTGAGATAGTTTTTCTCTCTAAACAATTTCAGATAGTTTATCTCTCTACAATATAATATAGTTTTTTCTCAAAAAAATTAAGATCATTTGTCGATCTAAAATTTAAAATTTGAGATAGTTTCCTTCTAATAATTTTGAGATAGTTTCTCTCTCTAAGAAATTTTAGGTATTTCTCACTCTAAAATTTTCTATAGTTACTTTCTCTAAAATTTAAGATGCTTTATCTTTCTAAAACTTTAATTTTGAGTTAGTTTCTCTCTCTAAAATTTTAATATATTTTCTCTCTTTAAAACTTAAAATTTGAGATAGTTTTTCTATCTAAAATTTTGAAATAATTTCTCTCTCTAAAAATTTGAGGTATTTTCCTTATCTAAAATTTAACATATTTTCTATATCTAAAGTTATAAGAAATTTTCTCTCTATAACTTAAAATTTGAGATAGTTTATCTCTCTAAAAAATTTTAGGTAATTTCTCTCTCTAAAAATTTGATATAGTTTCTAATAATTAAAATTTTAATATACTCTCTTTCTAAAATTTAAAATTTGAGATAATTTCTCTCTCTAAAAGTTTTGAGATATTTCTCTTTAAAATACTTTTAGTAATTCAACTCTCTTAAATTTAATGCAGTTTCTCTCTCTAAAATTTTTAAATATTTTTTCTCTAAAACTTAAGATTTGAGATAATTATCTATCTAAAATTTTAAGATGCTTTCTCTAGTTTCTCTCTCAAAAAATTTGATATAGTTTCTCTCTCTAAAAAGTTCATGTATTTTATATATCTAAGAAATTCATGTATTTTATCTCTTTAAAAAAAAGTTATATATTTTCTCTCTCTAAAATTTGATATAGTTCCCTGTATAGAATTTTAATATGTTTTCAATCTCTAAAAATTTTAATATCTTTTCTCTCTTCAATATGTAAAGTTTTCTCTGACTTCCACGTCCTTATCCTTTTCTATGAAAATTCAAAAAAATCCCACTCCACGAATTATTCAAAGATCCTTTCATCTTCTTTGTCAAAACCCATCTTCTAAATACGACTATTATTTTAAAAAAACAAAATAAAGCTTCCATTCAAATCTTCATCCGAAAAGCACTTTTGGCAACGAAAATCTTCATGATGGCCATAAAATCAATTTTCAATACGACAATGAGATTTGAAACTAAAAAAATAGTACAAATCTTGCAGATTTATGAATGATTTTTTTTAAGGTGAAATAGACAGTCTAGATAATTTATTACAACGTATATACTAATATATACTATTTTAAGAGTTTGATTTTTTTTTTTTAACAACTATAATGTTTAAATCAAGATAATCGATTTAAAAGCCTTTCAGCACTTAAATTGCAATTTTCAATGAGTTATGAGATGTAGCTTTACATATTTTGATGGGACTTCAGCCCTATCAAACCCTTTTCCTATTTTTAGATTGGAAAAGTGGTTTGTGTGAGGGGATGCAAAAGATGGATGTGGAGTTGTGGTCTTTTCGAAAAGGCAAAACTCACTGAAAAGAAATTTCTCTCAAAAAATTCTTTTTTAGTTTTTATAATTTATTTATTTATTACAAATTCATGCTCCATGTTAGAGATTATATATAATTAAAATATTAGGTGCAAAATCCATCTCCAAAATGAATCACGAAAAGGGGTCTCATATTTATACGTGAGTCTTAGGACACATGAAAACAATGTCCTTTAATAGAAAACAATTCATAAGAAAATTTTAAAAATAATAAGTGAAGATTTAAAACAAAAAGTATTTCACAATGGGAAAGTATAGAATGTGATTATTTATCTTTGCTACAAGGTGATCACAATAATCATGACCATTGGATGTAAAATTGAGTGGTTGCAATTATTCCAATGACTGAGCTCAAAATTCAAAAGAAATGTTTTCTAAATTTGTAACACATCCAAACTATCAAATTTCAAATAAATGGTTGTAAGGAATTGTGACTACCTTGTAAATGGTCTCATTGTATACAATCCCTTTCACAACTGTCTCTATATTGTAATATTATAATGGGATTGTCTACAAAGAGACTATTTATCTTTCGTACATTGATGTCACAATCATTCTCACTCATTAGATATCAAATTGGATGGCTTGATGTGAGTAAAAAAGTTCGAGATTTTTTTTTTTCTTTCAAAGTTATGCGTATTCAATGATACTCTTACAACCGACCATTTTGAAATTTAAGGGATAAAAATGATTGTTATCTCCATATTTATAAGATAAAGGAAAAAGTTTATATAGAACCGAGGCTCTAAACAATCAAATTAAAGCCCAACTCAAACATTTCACTAGAAGAGATTATTTTGATGCTCAAATATCTTAAAATTGATCATCTCAATATCAAGATCCATGGGCATGAAAAAAAAATGGATTTCAAGTTTTGAAAATAGTGTATCTTGTAAACATATTTTTGGATTGTCAATTTTCAAGATTTTCAAGTTTCTATAGATCTGTTCGATTCACATTATTTTTGAAGCTTTAAATTTTATAAAAAAAAATAAAAATATATTTTAAGGCTATCACAAATATTTTCAGTATTGAAAACACATTTCTTGACACTATTTGAAGGTGCGCTTTTGATTGTTTAGAGCATCAGCTCTATACAAACCGCACCTAAAGATAGATACTCTCTTGGTAGACAATCCCTATTATAATTCAAATGAGAATTATAAATATTTGAAAAAGAAAAACATATGATCTCTCTAAAAATGTTTAAAAATTCATTATTAAAAAACTCAAAATTAGTACCATTTTTTAAAGCAAAAACTTTTTTTTGTACAATTTTAACTATTTATTAATTTCAATATCTATACAATGAAACTATTTATATTTGGTACAAGAGAGGTCATAATTATTTATAATCATTCAATATGAAACCTGATAGCTTGGATGTGTCGTAAAGTTAAAAAAAATTTCTTTTAAATCTTGAACTTGATCAATGTAATAAATGCGACCCTTCAATTTTCACATTTAATGGTGGCTATCTTGCATCAAAGATAAATAATTTCAATATATATATATATATTTTATACATCTCATTACATTTCTGCGTGCAATACACGTAAGTTCATTTACAATAATTAAGGTCATCATTGTCCACTCTAGTCAAGGATGGTGGTAGAGAGACAATGAGCCCCACCATAATAATTTACGTCCACGCTCCTTCATCCACGGGATTCATCTACATCCATGACCATAAGAACTACGACACTTTCATTATACATGAGGATTATATTTATATTTGAACATGCTTTTTCCATGATCCTGAGGATTATGGTGTACTTCTCTTGTCTATTTGCCTATGGAATAAAGTTAAGGGAAAATGTTGCTGTACTTTCTTTATATAGAAGTTCTATCCTTCGCCTATCATCCAGTCATCCAATTTTGATCAAGAGAGTTATTCACCATTTGATTTTAGATCCGACATTTTAAAGTATTTTATTTTTATTTTTTTATACATACCTATAAAAAATATTAAAACTAATTTTTTGATAAAATATAATGACCAAACTACCCCTTATAAAATTCAAAAGTATGTTGGTTATTTTATTTTATTAAAAATATTTTTTTTTCTATTTTTCACTGGTGCGAGTTTAATAGAGAAATGAAAGTCCAAAATTTGGTGTCAAAAGAGTTTATAGAAAAAAAATTAAAAATAAAATAGTATAAAGACGTGACATTGTGATTAGAGCAATCTTAGCCCTCCATTCAAAATAGACAGTTGGATAAAAAAGAAGATAGAACTTCTATGCTCTAAAAGAAGCATAGAAAGCTTGCCCTAAAGTTAAGCATAATGGATTTCCAAGACATGATGGCCTTCGTACCCAACCCACAATCACATGGCCCAATGTGTTTTGCTGAGGAGCCAAGGAAACACAACCACACGTACACAACGCACTCAGCAAGAAAAAGAGAGAGAGAGGTCCCAAAAGAATACGGATAAGGGCAAGGTTTTAAAATCGGCAGACGGAAACGAGCCGGTTTGGATCAGGAATCATCGGGGCAGTTCCCATTAATGGTTCTGGCTAGTTCTCTTACAGAACCGCTCGATTTCTTAGAGAACCGTTCTTATTTTATTTTTTAATATATATTTTTTCAATTTTTTGTTTCATAATTTTTTTATTCACTAATTCGCTGGGCCTAATCTCTGATCCAGGTTCCTGATCTGAGCCAATTTTCTAGAGAACTGATCTAAGTCACTGAACCGTAGTTTTAAGCTTTGAGTATCAAAATAGCAAGTTAAAATCTCTCTCTATACAAAAGAAATGCATTGTAGTTTGACATATCCAAACTATCAAAGCTATCAAATGTAAGTAATTGTGATCACTTTGTATCAAAAGTAAATGGTCTTTTTGTATATAATCCTTTCTATAAGAAATATTTCACAAAAATGAACATAGAAGGGTGTGGTTTGTACAAGGCTTAGCCCTAAACAATAAAGTAACGCACAAATTCAAATAGTGCAAAAATATGTTGTTTCATTATCAAAATTTTTTATGATGATCTGCAAATTTATTTTGGTCTTTAATTATAAAATTTAAAGTTACAAAATTAGTATAAATCGAGCAGATCCGTGAACACTTGAAAATCTTGAAATTTGACTGTCTAAATAATACATTATAAGATATACTATTTCCAATACGTGAAATTTATTTTTTCTCATATTCATATATCTTAATGGCGAGATGCTTGAATCAAGGGCTTTTCAACATTGAAACAACCCTTCTAGTGAACTTTTTGAGGTGTTAATTTGATTGTTGGGGGCCTCAACCTTATCTAAACTTTTCCAGCAAATGTGGATCAGATTTTCCCTTTTTTTATGGTTTTTGTAGTTTTTATGTAACTGCAAGTGCGGACTCCTGAGTCCTTTCTGCAACTATATCCATAGATTCCTCTAATTTATCTGCCAAACCCTAAAAAGTTTAAGCCTCACATTGGTTTTCCAAGCCCCATTTTTGACTGGTCTCCCTTTACACAGATATACTCATGGCTACAACCACTTCTAACCTTGAAAACTAAACCATAAATCAAGTTAAAAAGCACCCAACCTTTATTCACTCAGCCCATGAAAATAAATTTATTCACCAACAAGTATTATAATAACACTTCCCAATACCACCTTGGATCCCGCCCCTAGTGGTTTTGAAGGTGAGAGACCCAGTCTTGAATCCCATCATAAAGGTGAGAAAGGCAATTCTTAACTCACTGTTAGTCCTTTCTGATACAAACTCTGCTCTGAAAGCCATTGATATCTGCACTTGTGGCTCTCTCTTGGAAAAGGTGCTTCATGATGATTTGGAGAAGGGTGGTAAGAAGTATTGGGATCTTGGAGTTTCTTCAGCATAAAAGGTTAGTAATAGTAATCTCCTTCATATCTCACCTGTTCTGAAGATCACTGAGCTGTGCTTTTGGATTCTCTCCATCTGATACAAACCCAGTTCTGAAAATCATTGATAACTGCATTGGATTTCTCTCTCTAGAAACAAACCAAGTACTCAAAAGTGAAGAACATATGTATATGCATTAAGGTTCTCTCCCTTGATTGCTGATATAGCCCTGTTCTCATATACATTCGGATTCTCTCTCTTGATAGTTGATACAAACCCTGTGTCAAAATCATTCACAGACGCATTTGGGTTATCTCTCTCGATCGAATCCCGGCTCTGAAATCATTCCATCTGAGAGAATCATTCAGATATGCTCCTTCTCTAAGACTAATTTCTTCATTATCATTTTGAACAGGGCTGGGAATATCATAGGGTCCTAAATATTTCTTCCATTTCATTCTCTCTCGCTCTCTCTAATGTTCGAAATCCAATCAGAGTAATCCACTGATTCTCAAGAACTGGGCGAAAATGCACGACCCGATCCCAGCTTGCTTCTCAGTGGACAGGGAGAGAGCAAGGGATGATCAATACAGCTTAAGGGCCGGCCAAACCTTAGCCACCAATGTGTATAGAACAAAGATAGCAGGCAAATGTAGACTCATTGTGGCCACTTGGTGCAAGAGCCTATTAGCCCATGGTTTTACAATTTCACTAGAGGACCAAGAGGCTAAAGCCCAATCCACTTACAAGATAGAGCTTGCACCTTGGTGTTTTTGGAGAAAGCAAGGCCTCAAGACCTTCACTGTAGAGGGCACAAGGGTGGATCTCTTTTGGGACCTTAGAAATGCCAAGTTTTACACTGAGCCGGAGCCCAAGTGTGATTACTATGTGGCTTTGGCTAGTGAGGGGGAGGTTGTTTTAGTCCTTGGAGACATGAAGAAAGAAGCTTATAGAAAAGCTCGATCTCGCCCTTCGTTGATCGACCCCATCTTGATCTCGAGAAAGGAGCACATCTATGCTAAGAGAAAATTCATTACTAGGGCGAAATTCAGCGAAAGGGCAGCAGCTCATGAGATTTCTATAGAGTGTACTTGTGGCTCAAATTCAGCCGGTTTGGACCCTGAAATGACGATTCGAATCGATGGGAATTTGGTAACACGAGTGAGGCATTTACAGTGGAAGTTTAGGGGGAATGAGACCATCTTTGTTAACAAGATTGCTATCGAAGTCTTTTGGGATGTCCATGATTGGCTTTTTAGTCCTGGATTAAGGCATTCATTGTTCATATTTAGGCCTTCCACTTCAAATCCATCTTCCACATTGATGAACGTAGGCCACGGGGGATCTATGAATGGAAGCGAAGTGAGCATGGGTGGTTCACCTGATTTTTGCTTGTATCTCCATGCATGGAAGACAGAATAGTGAGTTGGGGTTTGAGTAAGTTGAAATTACTGATGCTTGGGCATTTCGTATTCAAAATTAAATTGATGGATCATATGCAATTCCTATTCAAAGTTCACTTAGGGATTGCTCCTTTGGAAAGGGGTTCTTCTCAGTTTTAAAGGCGTCTTTGTGCAAGGACTAGGACTATGGTCCTACTAGAGCTTGATTCTCAGCTGCCATTGTTCATGTTCAGAGTTGAACCTTATCCCATGCTTGACAAGAGTCTGTCTAGAAAGAAAGAAAGAGAGAGAGTTCACGGTTAAAGTTCAAACAGAGCGAGAGATGTTTGCTAGTGGAAGTGAAAGCTTGTGTTGCCAACACAGGCACATGGGAGAAGACAGAGGGTCCCATATAGGGGTTGGAAGCTAGCAGGAGCGGCTTCTAAATAAATGGGCATGATTGGGATGACAGATTGGAGGCCACAATAATGGCCTCTCTCTCTATGTTTCCTCTTTCCAATGTTCTTTTAGCAATTTTTCTATATTTATATATCTATAGAATTGAATGTCATTGTTCTATGGCCAGCTAAAAGTCAAGAGAGCCATCAACTACTCCCAATCAGCCATTGATTCCGGGCAACAACCACCAAAGTTTAGCTGTCCAGATGCTAGTGTCTTGGTGCATGTCTAGGTAAAGGAAAAGGTATTTGTAGTGGCATCTATAATTCATGCCTTTTTGAATTCAAATTAAATTGTAATGTTTTTGGTAACATTTTTCTGAGGAAAAAGAAAGTTTATATAAAGGGTGAGGCCCTAAAAGGTTGTTTCTATGCTAAAAAACCCCATTTCGACCCGTCTTGATCTCAAGATGTATGGACATACATGAGAAAAATATATGTCTTGCAAATGATGCAATATGTAATGTATTATCTAGACCATCATTTTTTATGATTTTCAAGTATTGTTCCTTAGATTTCAATTCGGATGGTTGAGTGTGTCCTTGACTAGATTCCAATTTTTTTAAAAAACAGATTCTCGAACTTCATTATAAGCCATCCAATTTTACATCGAATGACGCACACAATCGCCCTTTTTTCTGTTCTCTCCTTATCACAGTTATTTATTCTTTATTCTTTTATGTGGGATTGTGGTTTAGCTGGATTTGATCTCTGGACATTGTGCTCCAGCTCTAAATTGAATTATTTTCTAGCTTGGCATTTTATTGAAGTATAAATAAGAAAACTCCTTAACCAACTCACATCTCATTGAAAATTGGGATTATATATGAGACTATTTATTTTTGGTGTAAGGAGATAATAATTATTTTTAGGCATTGAAATGTGAAATTCAATAGATGAAAATGTGTCACAACATTCGATAAATTTTATTTTTGATTTTGTGCCAATAAATTTTATTTTTGATTTTGTGCCAACAAGGAAAATTCCCAACCACCTTAATTTAAATCTAAGAGTCAATAACTGTCACTACTTCGTATAATAATTTAATAATCTTATTGTATATATTCCTTTAAAACTTCTGGAAAAGAATACTTAGAACACAATCTCTATGGCTTCGTACACGAGGCCTATCTTCTCAGTCGGATCCCTACTACAGGTAATGGAGATGATCTGCTTCTCAGCTTGATAAATAATGGTGAACCATGAGTGAAGCTCGCAAATCATCTCCAGTATGCGCCTCTTAAAATAATATACAAGATTCATGATGGAAATATCTCCACCCTCTATTTTTACTACTGAAATGGTCACCGTCAGGCGTATTTGCTTGCGATATATATATATATATATATATATTCCCTCTTTGTATCATCTTTCGCTACTTTTGGTATCAGAACCAATTGTATTTAGTAGTGAACTGAATCTATTTGCATATTTAAATCTGGTCAAAAAACCCTACAAGTCGTTGTGACCCAAAGACCACCGTGAGCCAAAAAGGCTGTAAGGTGCAGGGACTGTTTTCAGTTGACTCAAGGGCGAAAACCAAAATTTAAATGGCAAATCTATTCAAAGCATTGTCGAATAGGACCGCCTCTACTAGTAATACTTTAAGGGTAAATAATAGATAGGAAATTATTATAGATAAGATAGAAAAACCAGTGATTTAAAAAACGGATAGGTGCCCCGGATCCGGCACTTCAAAAACCCATCCGGATCGATGAATCGACGATCCGGATCGGGAATCGACCGACTCAGTCAGATTAAGCTCTAAAACAATCCAAAAATATTATTAAAATTAATTATAAATATTGTCTTTTAGGAATCCAATAAGAAATGATGGTACTCCATTGTTAACTTTCACTTTTTTCATCAATTTGTGAATATTGATATGTTTTTTCTCTGTATAAACTTATGTTAACCATTAAATTTACATCAGACATAAGAAAAATCATATAATTATCATGGATAAAATATATAATCATACATGGATGACTATAAAGAGTAGATTTAATCGATAAAAAATGACCATCAAAATATCAAATTGGCGGAAAGCACTAATCCCTTAAAAATACCCAAATTATTACAAACTAACTAACTATAATCCAAATTTATTACAACCTAACTAACTAGAATGTTATATGCTGAAATTAAAATTGTTGGTTTAAATTTTATAATTATGTTATTATACAAATAATAACAAATCTAAAATATTTTGTAATACGATCTAATTTAAAATGGATTACTGAGAACTGTAAGAAAGATAATAAGTTACATGATGTATAATGAAAAAATTAATAAATAAAATAAAATTTTGGTTAGAAATTATTAGAATGCATACCAATTTTCGAAAGAACAATTTAATTTTTCAAAATTTTAGTTTTTTAGATTTCTAGAATAAATTTAGTAAAAGACATTGTTAATAGAAAGAGAGAGATTTCAAATGGAATAAATTTCTTTAAAAAAAAATAATTTTTTAGATTTATAGAATAAATTAGTAAAAATATTGTCAATAGAAAAAGGGAGATTTAATAAAAAAGGGATGAGTCTGAGGGATCTTCTGACTCTGATGAAGAATTACTTATCGAAGAAATAAATGATGAAGATTTAATTTTTTCAAGTTCAGACTCTGAAACAGATTCTGAAGAAAACCCTAATTTAGATTGTCATTGTGGTTTCTTAAATACACTCACAAAAAAAGAAAATCTAATCATTGATTTAATTGACAAAATAAGTGATCCTGAGGTTAAAAGAGAAGCCTTGATGCATTATATCAATATGACCAAAGAACCTTCCAGTTCTTCTAAACCTTATCTTATCCCTACTAGAGAAGATTATAGTTTTACGGATATCCTAAAAAGAGTTCAAAATAAAACTCAAATTTACAAAGAACCTGCAATTCTTGATCTAAAAAATGAGATAAATGAAGTTTGAAATGAACTTATAACTCTAAAAACTAGAGTACAGATTCTAGAGATGACAACCACTAAAAAAGAAAGTACTAATGAAATGATGAGGAAGACTTTGATAATCTAATACATGATTATAATCATAATCTTTTACCACCCGAAATTGCAGATACACTCCCAAAAGTGATAGATGATCTTCAAACTTCAAATAGTTGTAATATGCTGAGAAAGTTGTACGACTATAAATATGTTAACCTCGTAGATTAAGTGATAACAAAGATGGTTTACCATTGTAAAAATAGTGGTGTAAAAAGAATACACTTTTCAGACCACTGTCTTATAGATTCAGGAGCAGATCTAAATTGCATAAATGAATGTTTAGTTCCAACCAATGGTTTAAAAAGCGGATCGGTGACCCGGTTCGGCCACCTCAAAAACTGATCCGGATTGGCGAATCGGCGATCCGGATCAAGAATCGGCTGAATCGATTGGATTAAAACTTCAAACAAATTCGAAAAAATTATTAAAATTCATTATAAATGTTGTGTTTTAGGAATCTAATAAAAAAATGAGGGTACTACATTATTAACTTTCATTTTTTTATCAGTTTGTGAATATTGAGATGTTCTTTTCCTGTATAAATTTATTTTAACTATTAAATTTACATCACATAAAAGAAAAATCATAGAATTATCATGGATAAAATATATAATTATATATGGACTATTATAAAGAGTAGACTAATCAATGAAAGAATGGCCATTAAAATCTCGTTTTGGCGAAAAACCCTAACCTGCTAAAAAAACCCAAACTATTACAGCCTAACTAACTATAATCCAAAATTATTACAACCTCACTACTTATACTATTATATACTGAAATTATAATTATTAGTTTACATTTTATAATTATTTTATTAGACAAATAATAACAAATTAAAAATATTTTATAATATTATCTAATTTAAAATGTATTATTGACAACTGTAAGAAAAATAGTACATTACATGATTTATAATGTAAAAATTCATAAATAAAATAAAAGATTTGGTTATCAATGTAAAAATTAATAAAATACGTATAAATTTTGGAAAAAATACTTCAATTTTTCAAAAATTTATTCTTTTAGTTTTCTATAATAAATTTAGTAAAAGATATTGTTAGTAGAAAGATGGAGATTTCAAATAGTAAACTTTTTATTTTTATTTTTTTTATACCTTTCATATTATTTACAAAAATAATTATACCACTATATACAACAAAAAATAACTGTTATATAAAAAATTAATTTTTTTATTTTTCATTTTTTTATGTCTTATATATTATTTACAAAAATATTAATATTTATACCAACCACTATATACACAACAAAAATATTTATATTTATACCAACCACTATATATACAACAAAAATGTAATACATGCCCAAGGGGATTCGAATACAACAAAAATATATTTATACCAACCTCTATATACACAACAAAAATGCAACACATGCCCAAGGGGATTCGAATGCAACACATGCCCAAGGCGATGCGACCTTGGGACCTCAAGTAAAAAAATCAAAGTCATAACCATCAAGCCATCTAACTACATGTGATTATAAATTGTTGATTAATAGACTATATTTACATTTCGTTTTCATTTAATGATGTTTGGGAATTATCCTACATCGAAAGATGGGTATTCAAATTTGGCATATAAATACCTATGCAATATGAACTATAAAATGTGTATAAGAATATTAGGGTAACCTCGCACGTGCGCTTGGACACACGTGTGCACGTGTGCACATGTGAGTGTGCCTGAGGCACGCTCGCACGTGCGCTCGGACACATGTGTGCACGAGTGAGTGTGCGTGGGGCACGCTCGCACGTACCCTCGGACACAAGTGTGCACGTGTGAGTGTGCGTGGGGTGCGCTCGGACACACGTGTGCACGTGTGAGTGTGTGTGGGGCACGCTAGCACATGCGCTCGGACACACGTGTGCGCGTGTGAACCGGGTTGAACCTAATGGTAACCGGCGTTTCCACTCTAGAACCAGGCTGAATAGGATGGAAACCGGCGGTTCCACTTTAGAACCGGGCGGTTCCCGGTTTTTGGTTGGAACCGGCACGGGCACGCGTGTTTCCGAGTCGAACCGGGCGAGTCCGGTTTGACTCGCCGTTTTTAAAAACACTGGTTCCAACCAAATATTTTAGCAAAACAATATATATATGCTAAATACTGCTGATGGTAGTAAAATGATAATAAATTATAAATTGTCTGATGCGGCAGTATGCAACAATGATGCATGTTTTAAATTTCCTTTTATAATAGTTAAAGGTTTAAGCCAACCTGTCATTCTTGGAACTCCTTTATTAAATATGCTCCTTCCTATATGAGAGAGAGATAAGGAGCCCTCAACTTGGCATTAAGGGATTGAAAAGGTAAAAAATATAATAAAAAAATATTTTTGAAATGTTTT